AAGAGCAACAAAATAAGCATAACAAACATGTACGTTCACTTTTTGGTTAAAGGTGGTTATAAAGTTCAGAACAATGTACTTAACCTATAAATAATCACGTTCCTAGATCTTTTAAAAGACGCACTATACAGTACGTACATGTATTATAAATTATCAATCCACGTTATCTCTCTACCGTTTTTTTTCTGCGATGCATTTTAAGATAGCCTTTAATAATTGCAGTAACCCTGATTGTTAGTACTGCAAACAGGGATATTATTTAATAATGTTTATAAACAAAGGACGATTTTTACAGAGTTGATTTATTGAGGAAATACTCACTGCTTTCAACTTCCTGAATCCGAGGGTATAAAAAAAAATCCATTCACGTTTTTGTAATAAATGTACATATCATTACTTGCTCGTTAACTGTCAAGTGTTTTGTTTAGGCAAGTGAATGTTTTAACCTGCATTTGATTTTCAGCTTCACATTTGCTGCACTTTCCATAAAACAACATCTTTACGCTGTGTATAATTTAAAAGGACCACACTGCACTTAGCACTAAAAAAAAAAAAAAAACATTCCTTAACAAACTTTTTTCTTCAGGTTTGTGAAATTCATTTTATTATTATTTACTTTTTTGGCCAGTTGGGATTCAGGGAAATAATAATTCATAACACACGTGAATTATTGGCCTGAAAAAAAAAATGCATTTCCGCTGGGCAAATGGTACAGCCAACTATGTAGCTGAAGGAAATAATATGAAATGCATTAATTAGCAAACAAGGACACAATTGGGGAAAAAAAGACACGAAGGAGTCTCTTCAGACATAACTGAAATATTTAAAAAAAAAATTATGCGTTTTAGTAAGTACGCATCATTCAACTTGGTGCCTTTAAGACACCGGGACACTAGAGCAATCTAGTCGTTATAATCTCATTGTGACCGACAGGAATGTGCCGAGTCAACTTGGGGTATATGGGCTGTAAACTGAGTCGGAATAATCTTATACACAGTTCAGTAAAATTCATAATAAAAACCTCACACCCTGTAAATGCTTCATCTTTGTCCCTTAATTAGTTTTCTGTGGGTTCTTTATTGGACACGATTCCAAATGTTTCCATATGTAAAGCTCTTGCTATATTTTGTAAAGCTCTTTGGTCCAAATCCTTACTTTCAATCACAAAGTTTCTGTTATTGTCTACGTTGGAACCTGTTAATCCGTCATTATCGTTGTGTTCTATGGCTTGTTTTTCTGATGGTTTCTCAGTCGATGGACACTGTTGAAGCAGTATCTTTTCATCGTGGTGAAACCCTCCCTTCTTCGCCAATTCGAGAGCTTCCTTCAAGTAACCCTCGGAAATGTCTTGCTTTCCTCTGTGGTTATAATATTTTGCTTTGGCTCTATAAAAATGCATACGCCTGCGTATGTCTATAACTGAATCGAATTGTTCTGTTTCTAACAAGCACGAATTGGCATTTTCCAAGTCCTGTTCATCAACCACAGCCCCTTCAATAGTTTTGCCGTCGCTGTTTAGTCCCAGAAGACAGCACGTTTTCTTATCCAGGTAAATACAACGCCAATTATTACGAGCATCCTCGTTTTCATTCTCGAAATATCGAATTCCTGATTCAATAAAATCGAGTATTTCCCTTTTCAGATTAGTATTCGAATTTTGAGCATACAATTCAAGCTTGATATTTACAAGGGCAAATATAATATTTCCAATATCCTTACCAGACATGTATAATGTTGCATCACCTAATGCAAGTGAAAGATATTGCAATCCTTTCTCAATTTTGTCCCCTTGAAACAATGACACGCCAAAACGGCTCTGATAACGAATCCTTGTCAATGTTGGATGTGCTGTTTTAGAAATGAGATACTCCATGCTCTTGAACTCCTCTTTTCCAAACAGAGACTTGCGGTTCTCATTATGAGTTCTATACAGCACAACCAGGGCATCGAGCAACACAAAGCAACAGTCGGCATACTTTCGCTCTTCTATGGGGTCCAAACTTCCACGCTTGATTGCGTTAAGTAACGTCCTGCTCCATGCCTCAAATTTTGTCATGCAATCTCTTGCCTCTGCATTATGAATCTTCATCTTCACTTTATCTGAAAAGTGTTCAATGAGTTTCTGACTCTCCATATCCAGACCGCAAGCAGGGGGTATAGCGTACATCTTTGCCTTCGGAACAGGTTGTGAACCATTTTCCAGTTCTCTACAGAGATCCTCGTGTCCTGAATCCTCTAAACACTGAAGGATGATCCCCGAACTGCATTTCCTGTAAAGTTTTAACAGCAGCCTAGAACACTCTTCTCTTGTGTTTCTTGATAACAGTTTTTCATAGTCTTTCAGCTGAATCACACCACCGTCCAGCAACGCCTTTGCAAAACATGGGAGTTGGATATTTTCAGCCAAGTACGAATGATACTTAATTGAAATTGTGGTATCCCTTTCGACCATATTGCAAATCCATGCTCATGAAACTACACATATAATCGCCATGACTTTTTGTAAACTTAGATTGACACAGATATGCACTTCGTCAAAAGCCTCAAGGATGAAGGTTGATAAGGTTCGGTGAGTTTAGTTGAGTGTCGTGTATCACAGCACTTTACATACACTTGCAATATTTAAAGGGTGTCCAACAAAAGAATTGCATTTTTATAAAGAAAGCCTTGATTTGTAAATTCTAGAAAGTACTAAACATGTCATAGTCATGACCATCAGAAATTCGTCACGAAGATAAATAGCGATGATATTTTTTAAGACTTGGTAATAATAAAACTTCCGCTTTGGTTGGTGTCACATGACTGGAAATAACTTCATGTAGTGAAACTAATCCAGAATTTAAAGGTCCTTTTTTGTAAAGTGGTATGTCAGAATGCAATAGACAAATGGATCAAAACTGAAAGTTTATCATTAGGTCTATCATAAAAATAACAAAATGTGGTTGTTAAACTCGTGGTCAAGTTGTGATGTGAACACTAGTTCATGGACATGCTATTTACAATTCTCTGTTCAGACAGAGAGAAACAGACAGGACAACAACATTATGTCCCCTATCTTCGAGACATAAAATCCATTCCCGATCTTCGAGGCATAGAAACCATAAAAATAAACTTTTTGTAACTGGTCTACATTCTGCTGAAATACCCATGATTTATTAAAATTCTGTCTGCGTAAAGTGGGTAAAGCTAGCTACAAGTAACTGGCTACTAGTAACTGACTAAAAATGAGAATAAAGCTAGCTACTAGTAACTCGCTACGACAAGTGGGTAAAGCTAGCTATTAGTAACTAGCTACGACAAATGGGTAAAGCTAGTTACTAGTAACTGGCTACTAGTAAAAGACTCAAAATCAGAATAAAGCTAGCTACTAGTAACTAGCTACGGCCAATGGGTAAAGCTAGCTACTAGTAACCTGCTAAAACATATCAATTAAGCTAGTTACTAGTAGCTGGCTAATAGAAACTGAATTTAAACGTAATTCTAGTAACTGGTTACATTACAAATATTAATTTAAAGAAAAAAATAATGTATTGAATGCCTTTAAAAAAAATAAATAACAATCTTGTATTTTGTTTCGCTAGTCAAAATATCTTATATAAAAATATGCTACTTTTGATCTATACTTGCAGTTTAATACTATTGTTGCGTATGCATTTTCAGTTAGTCATATCTTAGAAGAATCGTCAGTGTTCAATTTCTTTTATATATTTCGAAGACATAACTTCCGTCAGAACAGCCTTCTATTTCTTTTTTTTATTTCACAAACGTTAATTATTTTGTTACAAGTTGTTTAAAAAGTTTATTGATCAAAATAAAATTATATTCTAATCAAAACATATAAAATGTGGTATAACATATACCAATATATACAATGGATTTAACAACGTAAATTTGTTTAGTACAGTTTCATAATATACATATATGTGCTTTGCAGCGTAAATTTGTACAAAAAGTTAACGTCTCCCAAGCAGGTAGATATTTAGAGAGCAGATATATATTGATACAGCTGACAAAAAATTCTTCAAGGTTCTCAACATGACATATTACTAACGATTTATATTTATCTTTTGATATCTCTTCAGCTACTACAGAAGTTTTGTGAGACATACGTAAAGTTTGCGATACAAATATTAACATCATTGAAGTAACTGGTTCGTAATTGATTCATATTTCACAAAACGCGCTAGTAGCTGAAGATATCACTACAGATATCTTGGCAACTTCAGTGCAAGATCATGTGGAGAACCAAACAGGAAGTTTATGTCAGCAATATAAGTAGATATTAGCTAAATAAGAATCCTGGTACTTCAATGATATCAACATTTGTATCCCAAACTTGCATTATACTACATAAAAAGTACGATTAGCTGAGTATATCACTACAGATATCTCGATAATTTCAGTGCCAGATCATCGAACGGAATACATGTCTTCGAAATTTATAAAAGAAACGGCACACTAACGGTTTTTCTAAGATATGACTAATTCAAAATGCATACGCAATGATAGTATTAAACTGCAAGTAGAGATTAAAAGTAGCATATTTTAATATAAAAATTTGACTAGCGAATCAAAAATACGAGATTGTATTTAATTTTTTTTAAATGCATTCAATACATTACTTTCTTTTCTTCAAATTAATATTTGTAATTTTAAGCCAGTTACTAGAAGCTACGTACCTTTACTCACATTGCAAGCCAGTTAGTAGTAGCTAGCTTTACTCACATGTCGTAGCCAGTTACTAATAGCTAGCTTCATTCACATTTTAAGTCAGATACTAGTAGCCAGTTACTAGTAGCTAACTTTACCCACTTATCGTAGCCAGTTACTAGTAGCCAACTTTACCAACTTGTCGTAACTAGCTACTAGTAGCCAGTTACTAGTAGCCAACTTTACCCATTTGTCGTAGCCAGCTACTAGTAGCCAGTTACTAGTAGCTAACTTTACATATCTGTCTGCGTATTACTAAAAATAAGCAAACATGCATAATACGTTGTGGAATGCATAATTCTTTATTTCTTTCCGTGATCACCACTATCAACAAATACAAATCAATTAAACGAAGAACAATTTACAACTATTTTTTGAGCATGTACGTATTTAGATAAAACGCCAAAAACTTCAAGCATCCTAGTTCAAACTGGAGGCACATCGCATGTCGCTGTCTGTTTTGGGAGGATTAATAAAGAGGTTCGAACAACATCGTGCCTTTTGAGACCAAGTCGTCTGGTGATTCAGGGGGTTGATTCTGCGTCTGGTATAGAGACGGGGACCTGGCATCCAAGGGCATACGACAAAGGCCTCCTCTTCTTTGTGCGGGGAATAAGCACGGTACACAATACGGAAATTTTCTAGCAACTTTTTCGGGCGAATGGTATCCGCGTAAAGTTTTTCCCAGTGTTCAAGAGAATGCACGACACATGCTTTTTGCATATTGTGGTAGAATTCATCCATTGCTTTTCTGGCCTAAAAAGAAAACAAAAAAGATTATATATCTTCAATAAAATATTTTTCCTTGGTATAGGGGTAAAATAAAATCTAAGTTTAAATGAAAAACTCAAACTTTAATCTATAGCGCTTTCGTCCCATGCTTTATCAGTAGATTAGAAATTAAAATAATTATTTACTTTTAATAATGTACTATATACATTAAATAGTTAGCAATAGGGAGATGAAACATTACACCCACCTGCTCTCTGATGTTAGGCAGATCGTCAATGGTGGGACGATGCTGTCTGGGATACTTGATTTTTAAAACCGGAAGTGGCACAAAGACTTGTTCTATCTTTGGTATTGTCCATCCGCAATGTTTCTTCCATTTCGGTTCTGCATCTAAAATAAAGTTAACATTATTGATCCGATAGTCAAAGTATATAGTCTTCTCCATGTTACTTGATTCAACATATCTCTTAATTCAATTTTACATTTAGTGCAAAATTAAATACTGACGTTTTGTATACTTACAAACCTATATGTTCGATTGAGATACATGTTTTACACACTATTTTAATGAAATGTTACACAGGAAATTTGTTCTGCTAAATTTCTTTTTATTATTGAATTTGCTTCATTAAGTAAAATGAAAATGAAACGATCGCTGCATATTTAACTGTTTAGTTGCATATACCTTTGGGTTTTTCTTCTTTAATGTTTTCAAAGGGAGTGGTTTTTATACCAAAGGACATTTTGAACTTTTTGTTCACTGCAATAAAAAACAAACCAATGACAACATAACTAATGTCGATTTCCAGAAAAACGGTATAATACACGTGCATTCTACAAACACTGTTTTCGAAGCTGTTAGAAGAAAACTTTTGAAATGCAGTGAATTTGCAGAAAAGGATTTAATAAGTGAAAACATTTGTATTCCTCCTTACTGATCTGTCTTCTTATCTTATTGATGAGATCACCACCAGGAAGTTTGGTCACTATACTCTCCCTGCCAAGCCCTCCTGGAAACCTCCTGTTGGAGAATTCCTGAAAAATTGTTGATAGCTCTGTATACACAAAGGCATTCTATCGTCATAAAAATACATTGTCTGGAAAATCAGGAACATTCATTTTTTGTTGAATCTTTATTTACCGGTGCCGATGAATCATTTTTCAGTTCTTCTCTGACTTCGGGTTGATCTTGTGTCGATCTTTTAGGCGGCGTGACGTTGACCAGGTCTGTTTTAAGCTTGTATTTACTTGTGAAATCTTTATTGCCAAACTGTAGATATTAAATTTAAAACTTTTTAAATGAAGTATTGTTTTTTCATAGAGCAGAGGTCTTAAAATTGCAATTTTTATTTATTTATTTATTCATTTTTTGGCTTGATAATCTTTTTTTTAAAGATAACTCTCCATATAATTCTATTGTACTACAGAAAGACTATGTACAATATTCTTCTGATGTCTTTGGTCACGTCGGGCGATAACTATTTTGTGTAGTGAGACCAACTGGATTCCTGTTACCTGTCCTGGTCGATGCATGGTTTTCATTTTCCTTCCTGTTGTCGGAGAAACAAACTGCAGAGGTTTTGCGTACGGCGAATCCGTGTTTCGCGCGTTTTCCTGCATTTCTTTCATTTGAAGTGCAAGTTGACGATCAGTAAGGCCAACCAGACGTAAACCTGCAGTGTAGTGGCTTAGGACATGCGGTTGTCGTTTGGTGATATACCGGAAGTCTTCACCAAGACTCCGCTTTAGAGAGAACTGAGTGATGGCCGTGTAGAACAACCTCTGACGACGGGAAAATATTCCTTTCTTCCTCTTGTCTGCATCTAAGAAAATAAATACTTTTGAATTTTTAAGTTACATTCTTATGCAGAAGTTGTTGAATGTATTCTATAGACTATGAAGAACTAGTAGAGAAATATTTAAACCGGATTCAGTATTGCAATTCAACGTTATGATGGAAGATTTCTTTTATTTTCATCAAATCGAATGCTCTTTTGGAATTTTGCTTAGTTTTGTTGAACATAAGTTGGCGTATTTGTCATTTTGCAAGTTTTCTTCAAGTTACCATCTCCTCCAAGTCCCTCTAGAAGTTCTCCTTGGGTCATGTGGAACAGGAATTCATCGAAATCAATTTCTCCGTTGCCATCTTTGTCCAGCTTCTTTAGGACTGTTTCCACTTCTTCTCGTGTGATGTCGCTATCCACTCGCTTCAGACCCTCGTACAAACTGTCTGCATTCAATGTACCAGTGTTGGCGGCATCCAACATATCGAACAGCTTAATGGCGAATAGTTTGGAACAGAGATAGGAAAGTTTCGAAAATAAGAGTTAAGCTCAATTTCATTTTGCACTATTATTCTTTGTTTGACTTCTTTACATAGGGATATTTTTCAGTATGAATATTTTTTAGTTTTATTGTTACTTATCAAATTACGTAAGTTCGTGTCAAACGTGATATTATTTATTACACAAGTATTTACATATTTTTTAATTTCTTCTTCATTACTAATAATTTACTACCTGGGTAAGATGAGGTTTCTTAAACAACTACTTCTAAACTAAATATAGTCTTTCCTTTTTACTCTTAAATTCTCATTATCCAAAGTTGCAGTGTGAAAAGATAGTTCTATTACCAAAAATTCGTGTAAAGGAGTCAGAAAAGTATTCAGTTTCAATAAAAACAGGGAATTTTCGATCATGCAGAAAAGTCGTATCATGCCATGCTTTCCATAAGCCTTAGCATCATACTTTTCATCATCTTATCTGATCTGTTAACTTAATTGACCATTTCTCGTCAAAGTTTAACCGTGTGTCGTCAATCCGTTAGTTACTCAGTAATTTTGTAACATATGCGTTTTCTTCTCAGCTCTTCAGGATTATCCAAAAAAAAATGGGTTTAAGAGGTTAATAAAAAGAAAAATGTTATTTCATGGGGGAGGGGGGTCAATAAGACTTTGTCAAAGGATGTTTGTCCTTTCTTAAACTCTAGCATAGCGTTTTTTGTTTGTTTGTTGTTGAACGTCCCTCTCGAGAATTTTTCACTCATATGGAGACGCCACCACTTGCCAGCGGAGAGCTGCAAATTTTGACCTATACTCGGCACTTAGGGCCACTGAGCAGTGAGGGATCTTTTTCGTGCTAGCACCTACTACACGGGACCTCGGTAGCGTAGTCTCTAGCGTGTTTTAATCATTGTCCTGTAGGCACTGAATGTGGTTAAACATTGGACTCCTAGTGTGGCCTTACAATGTATCTTGATTATGATTCGAAAATATTCTGAAGTAAGTCATTGTGATGATGCTTAACTGTCCATCTATATATGCGACAAACATGACCCTTGTATTAGGGAAAAATGAAGAAAAAAAATCTTGAGAACAGATATTTTATATTTGTTGTATAAATATGCAAGTGTCCTTTGAAAGTACATATATATTCCATGAAGTCACGTCCTTAGCTTAATTTAGGTCTCGGTTAAAGGCTTCATATTAGGTTCACTGTCTGTAAAAGCAATGTGATTCAGGTGATCGTTGTAGCCCACAAGCCTATTGTTTTCTACTCGTTTCTACTATTTAATTATTTATTAATTCTGTTGTATGTACTTTAGGAAGTTGCTCTCTGGTGAATAAAATATTGCATTTTTAACAACTAAAAGTTACCTAATACTAATTTTCGTACTCTCTTTACTTGCATGCAAGTCCTAAAGTTTTTATTTCCTGCCAAGTGTGGGTGTAAAGATCTTTTTGAGTATTTCAACAAAAACAATTGTTACCATACAATATTGAGGATCGATGTCTTCCGGTTTTGTAAAATTAATAAAGTAATTACTACAGATGCTATTTAGAGTTTTCTGATTGGCTATATGTTGTAACTTGATGAAGAACAATTGAATATACAGGAAACATAAGACGATATTGTTATAAAAGAAATGAATCCGGAAAAATACTCAAATGTAACAAATGGTTTTGATTCTCTTACTGTTTAGAATAAATCCAAATGAATGAAAATTTCTATTTCCTTCGTATAAAAAAAACACGTCGGTTGGAAATTGTCGAAAGAAATTGTCTCACGGACCTTAAGGAAATACGTTATTCTTTATCTCCTATTCATAAATGCTTCTGAAAATTATTCTTTATTCGTTTTTCCCCAGAAATACTTAGGTACATTATGCAACAATTGTCATGCTACTCCCAACATAATTTTCGGGGGGGGGGGGGGAGCAAAATTGAATAAATTACGAATTGATTTAATTTTTTTTCCAAATCCCCTTTTTTCGGTTCTAGTTTTTATATAAAAGTTGCAAGATATAATGCAAGAAGAGTCATAATTCAACCGCTGAAAAAATTAAGATTGTATTGTCATAAAAAAAATTAATCACTAAATATAACTTCAAGATCTATCATCTCACTTATAGACGTTTTCTAATATGTACAGCCCCCCCCCCTCCCCGATTTTCAGAGTTTTTAATTTTAAAAAAGTAACCAAAAATGATCCTTCCCTTTTGAAAAAAAATCTTTAATTCGCCCATATTGAGTAGAATATATTGATTTCTTTTCCTGAAAAGGAGAACTGTGAGTCATTTCCACAAAAGAAACCTTGTTTTAATGGTATGTTAGAAAAATCAAGATGTAATCTGGAAGTGTAAAGTTCAAGGAAAATGAAGACGGCAAAAAGGACATGAAATTAGATAACTCTGTTATCATTTTTGTATTTGATACAATCTGCAAACTAAATTTGATTATCTTGTAACCTCCGACAATCAAGCAATTTTATAACATACCTAGAAAATGTAAAATCTTAGTCATTAGATATTAACATGTAAATGTGCCTTGTAAGATTTAACTACTCACATCTTTGAAAGCTGACACATTATCTTCGGTAAGGTCCTCAAACCATTCTGGCAAGTCTACGGAATAATGTTAGTTATATGAAATACATATCCTTAACTAAATAATAATATTCATACACAGTGAAACCCCGAATTTGTTGTGTTCGCAAACTAAAAGAATTTCTCTGCGAAAATTTTAGAAAAATAGTGAAAACTAAGTTCTGATAACAATTTATCTACCATAATTAAGAATTTGCATTATTAAAATGAATAAAGGTTACAGTTAATTCATTTACGTTACAGTTATTGAATAAAAATTAATACGTATAACCAGAAACATAAAAACATTAATTAACATTGTTACTTAAGTCTTTGGTATAACCGTACCTCCATTATCACAAGAAATACTCGAAGGATGTGTCTGTGCGCTAAATCGCCGACTTTCCTCGTGATTTCCACCCGATGTTTCTTGCTCTTCAAAATTCTAAATAAATATACCCGACTTGTAAGTCAACATCACATACAGAGAATTGAAATAAAATGTTATCATTTATTGCGAGTTACTCATTCCTTGAATAATGTAACAATGAAAAACCGAATGAATCCTGGTAAACATTTTATGTTAGAAATTAAATTAAATACAATAAAACGAAACCAACCATTCTGCTTTTAGCTGAGTGAGTCAATTTTCGAAGGAGACCAAGTGCAGGGACATCATCGGATTTTTGCGCCTTAGCCATTTCAGGTTTTGCTTTCTTCTTGTTTTTCTTTATTGGTGGTTTTCTTGCCATGTTTTCCTTTCACCGTGACTCCTTATTATGACCTCACGCATTTATTACATCACTTATCTATGGCGTCAAGGATTAACGGTATTATGACGTCACAGTCTTGAAAAATTATTGAAAATGAAATGATTTAATTTTCTTGATCATGGTGATATCGTGTAACATCTGGTCTTTTAATAGACCCCCCTCTCTCTCTCTCTTTCTCTCTCATTTGTAATTGAGTTGGCCTCATTTGAACACCCCTCGTAAAAAAAAAATCACCAATCCGCTAAGTAGACTAGGAACATAATAATGTGGAAAGAACATTAATTTGAGTTGACAGGTGTATCGAAATTTTCTAAGTATTTACAAAAGTTTTTAATTCGTTTATTGATTGTAAATTATAAATTTTGATCGATAATCAATTATTTTTTCCACATTTGCATTATCAAGTACATGTAACTCGAAACATTAAAGGTATGATTTCATGTTTATGATTAAACCGGAAGTAGCACATGTTAAACCCAACGTAAACAAATATATCTTACAATTATGAAAAATGTTGTCGATTCTGGTACATGCACAGTCTTTACGTTGGGTATTTCCTGCAACTGCATTGCTGAGCGCTGCTCCTATACATATTACAGTATGGACAGCTGCTCGATTGCTAACCTTTCCCCTGCCCAGGCGCGTGTACAGAGCTGTGGATGACCTTCTCTATGCGACCTACCAAAGATATGTTTTGTTTTTCATGCACTGTTATACTGGTGCAGAGGTAATTTAAGACTTTGAAGTTCAATGACCAAAGTTTTTTTTTTACTCTTTTTAATGACAAGTGAATGTAATAACTTATTAAATAAGCTGATAAATTTGGAGATTATACTTTTTTAATGACAGAGAAGTAAATGTTTCTAGTTTTTTTTTTATATATTAGCTGCAGAACTGTAGCGTTATGGTTTTATATTTTAGTCTTTGACCATAACGCTACAGATCCCGTAATGCAAACATGGTGCAATTAACAACCCAAGATTTTCTGCACACTTTGGGGATGTATTTATCCACTTTCCAGCAGTGGACAATCAACTACCTTTCATCCCCTAATTCTAGACATATTCTTTTACCAACTTGTATATTTTATCCACCTCCTAACCCTTAATAGTCATCTCTACAGACCAATAAACTTGCTTGTTTTGAATTTTCTTCCATCCAACAAAAATTTCAAAACATTTTATTTGACATTATGTATATATACATTTGAAAATCAGTCAATCCTTGTTATCTCAAACTCAATGGGGCCAAGAAAAAATAAATAAATAAAAAAAGGAGATCTCCAAGGGTTCTAGATATTGAGGTTAAAATACATTAAGAAAAAGTTATTAGGACTTCAAACTTACATTGAGATATCTATTGTATTAAAGATATTGATGTTCAAGGTATCAAAGTTCAACTTTATCTTTATTCAATTTTTTACACAAATGCATCCCAAAAACTTTGTCCCAGAGTTGTAGATTTTGTGTTTTATAATTGTTGAATACAGTAAAAGGACATTTCAAATAATGTTTTACAAAGATACATCTTTGATTTGAACATATTTTATTGCTTAACACAAAAGGATTAGAAACAAGTTCTTACAACTTACAAGTTCTTCTCCTGTAAAGATACATCTTTCTGGGAGAATTTAAATAAAAGCCAGATTTGGTGACCTCAGTTTGACCTTCCAAATGACTAATTAAGCATTATGTATTTCTGCAGGACATTCATATGTGTTGGATTTATAGTTTTCAATCATTTATGTTAAACTCATTTTTTTAATAATAGATATATACATATGGTGATACAGACACTATCACTGATGAAAAAGAAAATGCAATCTTTATCTGCAATCATCAGTCAACAAGTAAGATTTGAATACCTATTGAAGAATTATATAAATATAAGAGCTAGATACAGATTACTCGGTACATAAATTTTTCAATTTAAAGTGGTATTGGATAATACTTCGTTTTTGTATTTCACACAGTGGATTGGATAGTTGCCAATGTATTTGCATTACAACATGGGTCACTTGGACATGTTAGATATGTTATAAAAGATGGGCTAAAATATTTCCCACTCTATGGTTTTTACTTCAAACAGGTAAGTTTTCCAACATATTAAAATGTAAATATTCATGAGTACTTTGAACATGAGAGTATTTTCTCTTTACTGTCAGCCATTCTATGGGATTTAATCCATGTAATTATGCCCCCTACAAAGTATTGGGGGTATATGAGAATTGCCTTGTCTGTCTGTCTGTCCTTGCAAATATGTCCAGAGTATAATGTTGTAATGAAGAAACATTGGAAGCTCATGCTTGATACAAAGACTGCTTGTGACCTAAGGGTGTAACATGACCTTTAATCAAAGTCATTTGGGTTAGTTTAAGGTCACAGAAGAAAGTGTAAAATTGTGTCCTATCTATAACTTTTCAAATAGAAAAGAATTGGAAGTTTATACTTCACACAAAGATTATTTATGACCTGAGTGTATGTCATGACCTTAACTGAAAGTTGTTTTGACTAGTTCATGTTCACTTTCAGAAAACATATAATTCATATCCTGGCCACTCTTGTAATAAAGAAATATTGGAAGCTCATACTTAAACATTGGTTCTGACCTGAGAATGTGTCATTACTGGGCAAAATCAAGGACACTGGCATAAATTTTTTTTTCCCAGGCTTATAACTCTTGAAGGAGAAATATTGGAAGTTGATACATAACACGAAGATTACTTGAGAACAGATGTTTTTTCTTGATCATGACATAAGGTCATCTGGCCAAGTTCAATGTCACAGGTATAAAATGTAAAATTCATGTTTGGTCTGCAACAGGAGAGGAGAAATATGCATCGGATCAGACCGGGATTCAAATCTGGGCCCCCTGAATCTTCAGTCAGGTGCTCTACCAACTGAGCTATCTAGCCATCTGTGATCAAACCCATTTGACTTTCACATTCCTCCCTCCTTAAAGGTCTTTGGCCCCAGAAGATACCAGCCCAGGCTCTTCCCTGGCAGATCTTTCACTGTCAATTCCAGGGCATGGCTTGGCACCATATGTAACAGGAGAGGAAAAAAATGTGACGAACCAGACTTAGAACCCGAGCCCCTGAATCTCCAGTCAGGTGCTCTACCAGCTGAGCTATCTGGCCACTGGCGATCGAACCCGTCTGACCACCACAGGTCCATACCATCATCTTGGAGAAACATAGGAAGTTTATACTTTACAAAAAGATTACTTATGACCTGAGGGTGTGTTATGATGTTTGATCAAAGTCATTTAGGAAAGTTCAAGGTCACTTTGAGAAAGATGTAAAATCCCTGTCCTAGTAATTTCTTGTACTGGAGAAATGTTGAAATTTGATACTTGGTATAATGATTGCTTATGAGCTTAGGCTGTGTTATGACCTTGACATAGGTCATTTAAGCTGAAAGTCAATGATAAAAAAGTGTTCATGATTGTTCCAAACCTTTATCTTATAGAAACATTAAAAGTTATACATGTACTTCACAAAAGGATTAATTAAGACCTTTAGGGTGTGTCACAATCTAGGAGCAAAATCAATATGGTAAGTTCAAGGTCACTTAAGCAAAATGAATAATCCTGTACTGATCTCTGTCTTATAATAGAGAAACATTGGTTACTGTGTTACGGCCTTGACACAAGATCATTTGGGCAAGTTCAAGGTCATTGACAGGAAAAGTAAAATCTGAGTCTGGTCTATAACTTTCTATGAAGGAAACATTGTATGCAGCATTTTTTAAAAAAAAAATGTAGTGGGTGATATCAATTTACGAGCATGTTTACACTAACTCTGGTGTTTTGTTTTGTTTTTTGCCATAATATTTGACATTTATTAAACTTTAAAATATATCTACTGCAGTAATTTGTTTTGTCCACTTAAGAAAAAAAAACCCATATATTTCTGTTTATTTTCAGCATGACTGCATATATGTTAGAAGGGGAAATTTTAGTAAAGATTGTATGGAAAAACAAGTGAGGAGACTTGCAAAAAGAAATGAACCAGTAAGTTAACTATTTATCAATGCTATGCTGCAATATTTCATCTTTTTGTTGAACCAGTATTGAAATGATAGGTTAACAGAGGATCAGTTTTTAAAGCTTTGTACACTGTTCCGGGTGGAGGTTGTTGATAGCTTTCATACTGTTTTTTATTAGACCCATACAGTACAAATGCTAAAGGAGGTTGAGTACCATATTTGGTCATTTCCATCCCCTTATGATAAAAAAAAAAATCAATTTTTACAAAGATAGACTCTCGTGCACAGATGTGCATAAGGAATGATCATTTCTGTACCTGCTTAATCATAAGAGATGGAGAAATCATATTTGACTTAATATATTCCATTATTTTCAAATGACACTAAGGTTTGGCACTTTGACCCTAATCTTGTTGATAAAAAATCCCAGTTGCCAATTGGATATTTAAATTTTATTAAGAGAAAATCAAAGATATACACGCTATATAAACGCGATTTTTTATGTGAAACAAAATGATTTGAGAAACATGATGTGTAATAAAAAATAATTACTTTCCACAAAGTTTTACTAAATAAATCGTTGTAATTACAAAACAATTGAGCAAGATCTGCAATTAAACATTCAGCCTATTCATGAATATTGATAAAGGAAGTGTGTAAACAGTATATAGACACGCATGTCCGTGGGAAATCACAGTCAACGAGGCACATTGCATTTTGACTATGATTTTGAATAAAAGTTAATATCTGTCATTACAGAGTAGATAGTTAATACTGGTTGTTTTCAAAGATAAGTATCTTTAAGCATAAAACATATGCCATCCATGTCAAAAGTTATTTTGTATACCAAACGGCCTACCTCGTTTTCTTGACGCCATTTTTGTTTATCAATCTAAAAGTAGCGACGGTGTCACATGACGCATGAATTTAAATATAGGCATTACTTTCCTAGTAGGATAATAAATAATTATAATTTGATATCTTTATAATGCGTTC